CAATAATTGTATAACCTTTGGCATTATGATGGAATGACTGCAACTTGTACATCATGCCACGGTTTTCGCCGAATTGTCTTGTTGATCTAAGTTTTCATCCTGAAACTCAAACTACTGTACTTGAAATTAGCAAGGATGTCACTCGCTCTGGAGTTTCTAACCCTCCCGCGGCCAGTGACACTGGGAACAACAGCAGCAGCAACAACATTACCTTTGCCGAAAAGACCGTACCAGTGCATCAACATCATGCACCAAAAGCAGAGAAATTCAGTTGTAGTGCTACAATAATTGACTCGTCCCATGGTTTAATACTCTCTCACGGGTGTTTGCTCACCCCACTTTTAACTTCGAACTCCACGAAGTATAGAATTCAACGTAGTACTACCGAAGCGAACTTTGTCCTCTTCGATGATGAACCTAAAGCCGACGTCGGTGAGTACACTTTGCAGGTTTTGCTCAACGAACTGGCGCCCTCTCAAAAAGACGGCAACGATGCGAAGAACTTAAAACGCTTCCCAGCACGACCCGTGATTGCGTGGGACTGTCCCAGTCTCATAAATGTACTGCACACTTTTTTCCCGAGCTCCGATGGCTGGCGTTTCGTTGATGATGCACATTCTGTTTCCATGACAACAGATGAGAGAAAAGATTACCTGAACTATGATGAGCAATCTATACAGCCAATACCATCCAAATCAGAGACGGCTCTAACAGCAAATGATCTGATGACATGGTTTGTCTTGTTAAAAATTGAATGCTGGGAGAATTGCAGGTACATAAAATAATGATGACAATCCCATTCAAAACTAAAATAATCAACTTAATGTACCCTTTGTATTAAAATTTATCTAAAAATTGTTTACAGGACTGACCCTGTCAAGATCTTGCCTAGTTCCAGGCTCATCCAGGGCCAATCACTCATAACCATAGCAACACCCTTTGCCAGTATTTGCCCCATGGTGTTTTTCAACAGTCAGAGTAGCGGTATAGTTAGCAATGTAGCTGGGAACAACAATACTCTAATCATGACTGATGCAAGGTGCCTGCCGGGAACTGAAGGTGGTGCTGTCTATACTAAGATCTCAAGCACTGAGGTTGAACACAGGTGAAAAGCTTTTATTGATTGATTTCCCATCAGGGGGGGGGGGGACTGAAGGCTCTCTGTTTTAAAACGCAGGATTTCTATGCTGGCTCATTACGTGGTTACCATGTCTAGCAGATTTTGAAAGTTAGCATGCACCGCATGAACATGGCCAGAATCTACTTGTATATACAATATTTTCAGAATATTTATATCACTCTTGGCTAAGTAACTGTACAAATATGGCTGTACAAATATTCCAGTGAATTCGCAATTGTGGCTTTGTCTTTATGCAGTTTATAAACAGCTGCATTGTATTCAAATGCAGATTGGGAAACCTGCACTGCATTTTTTGTTTTTTTAAAGACCTTGCATTTTTATTGTGCAGCATCAGTCAAGGTGCAGTGTAGGAAGTTCAAAAGAAAATAAAGATCTTCTTCAAATATTAAAAAACTAGGCTAAGGTTTGGTTTCAAACCCACACAGGTATAGTCTCTAAGGTCAGAGGATTTGTCTGGCTCATCAAGCTAACAAAGAATTACAAGCCATTTTGCAAATTATTCGAACAGTCAGGTAGCAAGATGGTACTAAGGTTTTTGTCTAATCCAGACTTGGTGGCGCCGCTCCATTGACACATGCACAGTTCAGATCGTTGCATTATCATACTAGACGAGAATAAAGCGCAGTTTTTCAAAATGATACGTGACAGAATACATGAACAGGTTATTTTGATTTTGTTGTAATATTTCTTGAATCACACAAAATGATAGATATATATTAAATATGTATACTATATTAGCAAATCACTTTGTTGACAATCCCTATAAAATAATGATTCCCACACAGCATCTATCAGTCAAACGGCGCCCTCAAGTTAAGAACAAAGCAAAAGCCAAGTGTTTTGCAAAGCTGCAAGCCATTTTGCTAACTGACTGTCCGAATAATTCTATGAACCACTGTAAAGAGCAAATGGTACTCTAAATTAGAATCAACATTACCAAATGTTAATTATTTACAAACAACAAATAAATAAATAAATAAATAAATAAATAAATAAATAAATAAATAAATAAATAAATACAAACATAATTATCTTTCAAAAATATTGGACAGAATAAATTAATATCCAAATGCTAGAAATAAACTAAGAACATGCAGTCTAAAAAGAATATTCACTTAGAAAGTTACCTAACTTGTTTTAATTTTGTCTCTCACCCAGATTCCAGTTAAGTAACCACCACCTAAAAATTTAAAGAAAAGATCTGTGAACACTGTGATGGCAATGACATTGAAGATAAACAGCATTTCTTATTGTCTTGTACACTTTACCAAACAAATTAGTGATAATTGGATTCAATTAAAAATAAATCTGATTTTTTACGGGCAGCAATGACAAGTCAGTAGCAATTGCACAGGTTATATCAATATATACACACACCCTAATTGTCTTATTTTAAAAATGTATTTTGTGTACTTTTTTAATAAATTAAATTGTAAATCTTTTCATCCTTTCTGAGTGTTATGTGCTGGCTACCCAGCCATTGAAAGATGAGGGGCTTTGTTGTGTCAAGAGTAATGAGCAAATGAGTAAATAGATCTCCTTGTGCAGCTCTGTTGTGTCATGGGGAGACCAGTCAGTAATGTTATGATCTATAATGCGTTTACAATTATAAATCTTTATTTACGTAGATATTTGACAGGTTTGATAGTAGCACCACTATGTTGGAAGTCTAATGAGTGGATTGGACTGACTTTAGTCTGCAGCATCTCAGAAATCCTCCATGTCCTGAATCAAATTTTGAAGACTACCAGACTGAAAAGGTTTCTTCAAAATATTGATACCAGCGAAATATTCTATAAATGTATCACCCATTCAAGTAAGTACCATCGCTCAACCATCGCCACGACAACTATAAATATTCTGCTGATGCAACTGATCGCAATGTTGTCACCATATTTCTAGATGGTTACTATAATAAACCAGCATCTCATTACTGTCGCTTTTGCCTTGTATGTACCATATGTCTTTTCTTATCAAATCGTGTTTGCTTAGATGTTTAGATATATTATTATATTTTTTTTCATTTTTTTTCTCTCTCACTTCTAAGTGTTATTAATTGATAATTAGTCATCATTCCACACTTTATGTTTTCTAGAACAATCTTATGGGTTTGGCGTTTCAGAGGCGATCAAGAGAGTTGTGTTAGTGCAAGCTGGTAGTGTGTGGGGATCAGGTATACTGGTTGGTAATGATACAATACTAACATGCAGACATGTCATCAGTGGTGCTAGGAATGGTATAGGTGAGTTGTTGTTGTCACAGTGTGTGCATCATGCCAGAATCGCCATCATTAAAAGTTGATTTCACTAAATTACAACAGGCATGACAGCGAGAATTGTGAGCCCGATTGTGCTACTATTAGCAAGTTTGCACACAAATTATGGATCATATCTGGTTACCAAATTATAGGACATATATCACATGTATATTGTAATTTTATCTATATCTCAATAGAGCTTCGATAACAATAAAGTTATACAATTATTAACACCTACCAAGTGGTTCAAGTCTGCTCCATTACAGGACTTCATATTAAAATGTTTGTTTCCAAGTCCAACTCGTTTCCTCAGGTCAAATCTATGCCTAGGTCATGTGACAATATCCGCGTGCCTCTGCATTTTATCTTCTAGTCCTTTTACTAGGGCTTTATCCTATACCAAGAATATTTATGTAGTATATTTATTGATCATCTTCTTAAACTACCGGTATGTTTGTTTGTTTCTTCTTAGTACAAGTGAGATTTGATTATCCCAGCATGCACTGGGTAAGAGCCGATGTCATTTTCACCACCTCTGATTTGTCAGCTTTCGATATAGCAGTGCTAAGAATGCAGAAAATTCACAAATCAAGATTATCTGATCTGAAAATTGCCACCCAGTGTACAAAAGGTAATCAAACAACTTTATGTACTTTAATGTTGGTGGGCGCTATGCAGCGTGTGTTCACATTTTGTGGCATCTAACAATATTTTATACGTTGATATGGGTCCCATATCGAACATGGCACTGCGCGAGAACCTCAGATTTTAAAAATAACATGATACTAATTAATGCTTTATAGTTGAGATTAAGCCTCCCTCTGTCATTTACTCTGTTACTATGACAACAGATAGACATGTTAGTTTCAATGCTCAGCAAATTATATTGCGTAATGTAAAATAAAAAAAAAAAAAAAAAAAATTTTGTTTTTTAATAAATCATAATGAAAACATAAATTTTAAAATAAAAAACTGATGATTGTGGCGATTTTTAAGCAAATTGGCCGAAAATATTTTTATTTTTATCTTGGCCTAACACACGTTTGGTAATTTACAGGAAGTGATATATGTGTAGTGGGGCATGCATTATTTCCAAGGGAACTTTCTAAACAGCCCTCAGTCACCTATGGTATTCTCTCAAATATTGTGATAGTCAAGGATAAACCAGTTTTGCTGCAGGTAACAACTTCTGACTTAACTTTTGTGACATGAACTTGAAGTCGTATACATGTACATACCGGGGGGTACATCTAAAAAAATAACTTTAGCATAAATATTTTAGTATGCCATATCTGTTCTATTAGTTGTGCTTGTCAAAATAAGTTATATTTTAATTAATGATTAATGGCATTTTGAAGGTCAAAGTCAACTTTGTTGTCACTTTACACATACTGAATCTGCATAATTTTTTACATCTTGTTTTTTTTTTATTTTACCTGCAGCCAATGAGATATTCAGCATACTTGTTTCAAAAAATAACCTAAAAATATATCGAAAAATATATTAAATTATGTGAAATATTCGGTGGTAACACTACCTTACCTTCTATGTATCATTTTTCATTGCCAGATAACTCAAAAAATTATGGTTGATTTAGGAGAGGGTTGTCCAATGGCCACAAACTTGCCCCTTTCAATTGTGAAAGTGCATATGCTATTAATGGTGCAAATGTGGTATATGTATGATAGTTTAAACACAAAAAGATTACAAATTATGGTATATTTAATGTGGTTTGGTTGTATTTGATATGCAGATATTAATTAATTTTCTCGAAAATAATTTAGTCAAAAAATTTAACAAGACTTCCATATGTTTTTAGTCTACATGTGCTGTTCATTCTGGAGCCAGTGGTGGACCATTGTTGAGTGCAAAGACTGGAGAACTGATTGGTATAGTTGCTAGCAATTCAAAGTAAGTGCATTTATGAAGGTAAAATTAGAAGTTGAAAAATCTGGTGTTGGTTTAAAGTTCCATTTCTCATCATCTTCTGGCTAACAAATGGAGCTTTGATGAAAATGGCCATCAAGATCTCGTTGAGTTGATATTGCTCAGTAA